TTTTGTCTGAATTAGGTACTTTTTTGACTCAGAGATGGACACTTCCAGGTACAATCCAAAGAACACAAAGGAAGCCAATATTAAGCGGTAGGAACTCGAAACTTACGTTGTCCTCATGATTAGTGTGCACGATCCTCCTTTTATCCTCTATTGGAACATTGCTGAAAATGATTTCTTCAGGAATGTGCATTCCCTGAAAAGGGCCTCTTTGATAAGTAGTCAAGCCTATATGCGCTCTTTATTCACAGCTGGATTCTTCACATCACAAGATGGTTTTTGCCAGCATTCGACTGACTATCTTGTGAATCTTCTTTTGTGACACGGAGAGCTTGCTGGTTCTTACAGCAGAAGTTGGTACACCAAGACACTACACCAAAGGTAGAACGCATGGATGCCCTGAAAAGGGGCTTTTTGTGATCATCAGACTAGCATCAACATAGTCCTTAATCAGAGCTGGACTGTTGACATCACAAGATGGCATTTGACTAACGATGATGGATAGCTTGCTTGTGGTGTCGGTGTTGGAGCACAACAGCCCTCAGATACAAAAGGACAAGTTGAGAAAAAAGCAAGGGCTCATCTTGGTTTTGAACCTTTCTGGAGAGAACCTCTTGAGAGCCAAGCAGCCAGATCATTATGCAGCTCGGTTGAGGTGAAGAGCAAAAATTTGCTCGATTACAGAAGGAAGAGTTAACAGCAAAGTAAGGGCTCATCAGGGATTTCAACCCCGAGACATCTCTCACCCAACATTAGAATCATACCCCTAGACCAACGAGTGAAATAGCCCACCTGGCTGTTATTTTTGTTCATTTAAACATGCACAAGTTAGCACTGGCTTTATTACAAAGCTGTGATGATGTAGAGAGTTGGCAAGTTCTCATCTCCTAAGTCGGCCCTCCAAGATGCTAACCAATAATGAGAACAAACCTGAAAGGGGTTGTTCCTGAAATTGGACATCCCTGAAAGGTGTCAGAGCAAAAATGAGCAGGGTACCACAGAGTAAGTTACAAGAAACACATCCACCTATCTGCAATTTGAATCTCTCGGAACTAGAAGTAGCCAAGGACAGTTGAACGTAACACTTGGGCTCATCCGGGATTTGAACCCGGGACCTCTCGCACCCTAAGCGAGAATTATACCACTAGACCAACGAGCCAAACGACCCACAGGTACAGCGCCATGGACCGCTGGAGTTGCACTGTACCCTGCAAATGTATGTCCTTCCAGTTCTGTAGGTTCCTGCTAAAAGTTTGAGATGGTTGCACAAGATATTACTGTGAAAGATGTGAACGAATGAGGAAAGCTTGTTCATGGTGACTAGTATGACCAAAATTAAACTCTGTTACAGAAGGACAAGTTGAGAAACAAGCTGGCTCTCATCTTGGTTTTGTACCTTTTTAGGACGCTTGAGAACCAAGCAGTCATGCAAGAACCAAGCAGACAGCTCATGGCATTCGAGTAACTATGTCGTGGTTGAAGTGAATAGCAATAATTCCCTCGATTACAGAGGGACAGTTTAAAACGAAGGTAAGAGCTCATTCAGGAATTCAACCCGGGCCATGTCACACCCAAAGTGAGAATCAAATCAAATCCCTGCGCCCAACAAGCTAAACAGCCAATCTGGCTGTTTCAACCTTAGTCCATCACACTAGCCATTTCAATGTAGTGGTATCAGTGCCTGCTACAGTTATTTTTGCATTTGTCTTCAGAGATCAAAGTAACATGGCTGAGCTCTGGTTTTATTACAAAGCTGTGGTTGCATGGTGAAACAGGCATTCCCTTAACATAGGCTTCCCTGAAAGGTGTATTGAGCAAAAGCTGCTGAAGAGGGACAAGCTTATTTGGAATTTCTAGCTTTTTCGATCTCTCGTGAACAAAAACAGAGAGCTTGGGCTCGACTTGGAGTCGAAAACAGGACCGCTCACACCCAAAGCGAGAATCATACCCCTAGACCAACGAGCCACAAGTTGGTCTAGGGGTATGTTTAAGTCGGGGAAGTTTAAGCGTTATTATACCTTGCTAATATCTGTCCTTATTGTTCTGCAGGCTCAGACTAAACAATTCAGGTAGTTGCACAAGATATTGCGCTCATAGAATGTTCAAGACACCTGTGCTTTTTTTCAGAAAATCTGTAGGGCTTTGCTGTTTTCGCTCTATTCAAACAGGGCTATAACTAATTGTTTTGGGAGATGGAAGACATCCCGAAGCAGGGTTTTTGATTCCCCAGAAAGTAGCAACAAGCTATCCCCTATCATAACCAGCAAACAAACGTTGTTTATTTAGCCATGATTTATTACCACTGCAATTATTCCATCAACTACATTCTGTTGGATAGGGGACATCCCCAACCAGTCTTCTTTTGACTGATTTTGTCTGAATTAGGTACTTTTTTGACTCAGAGATGGACACTTCCAGGTACAATCCAAAGAACACAAAGGAAGCCAATATTAAGCGGTAGGAACTCGAAACTTACGTTGTCCTCATGATTAGTGTGCACGATCCTCCTTTTATCCTCTATTGGAACATTGCTGAAAATGATTTCTTCAGGAATGTGCATTCCCTGAAAAGGGCCTCTTTGATAAGTAGTCAAGCCTATATGCGCTCTTTATTCACAGCTGGATTCTTCACATCACAAGATGGTTTTTGCCAGCATTCGACTGACTATCTTGTGAATCTTCTTTTGTGACACGGAGAGCTTGCTGGTTCTTACAGCAGAAGTTGGTACACCAAGACACTACACCAAAGGTAGAACGCATGGATGCCCTGAAAAGGGGCTTTTTGTGATCATCAGACTAGCATCAACATAGTCCTTAATCAGAGCTGGACTGTTGACATCACAAGATGGCATTTGACTAACGATGATGGATAGCTTGCTTGTGGTGTCGGTGTTGGAGCACAACAGCCCTCAGATACAAAAGGACAAGTTGAGAAAAAAGCAAGGGCTCATCTTGGTTTTGAACCTTTCTGGAGAGAACCTCTTGAGAGCCAAGCAGCCAGATCATTATGCAGCTCGGTTGAGGTGAAGAGCAAAAATTTGCTCGATTACAGAAGGAAGAGTTAACAGCAAAGTAAGGGCTCATCAGGGATTTCAACCCCGAGACATCTCTCACCCAACATTAGAATCATACCCCTAGACCAACGAGTGAAATAGCCCACCTGGCTGTTATTTTTGTTCATTTAAACATGCACAAGTTAGCACTGGCTTTATTACAAAGCTGTGATGATGTAGAGAGTTGGCAAGTTCTCATCTCCTAAGTCGGCCCTCCAAGATGCTAACCAATAATGAGAACAAACCTGAAAGGGGTTGTTCCTGAAATTGGACATCCCTGAAAGGTGTCAGAGCAAAAAGTGAGCAGGGTACCACAGAGTAAGTTACAAGAAACACATCCACCTATCTGCAATTTGAATCTCTCGTGAACTAAGCAGCCAAGCGGTTGACAGTTGAACGTAACACTTGGGCTCATCCGGGATTTGAACCCGGGACCTCTCGCACCCTAAGCGAGAATCATACCACTAGACCAACGAGCCAAACGACCCACAGGTACAGCGCCATGGACCGCTGGAGTTGCACTGTACCCTGCAAATGTATGTCCTTCCAGTTCTGTAGGTTCCTGCTAAAAGTTTGAGATGGTTGCACAAGATATTACTGTGAAAGATGTGAACGAATGTGGAAAGCTTGCTCGTGGTGACTAGTATGACCAAAATTAAACTCTGTTACAGAAGGACAAGTTGAGAAACAAGCTGGCTCTCATCTTGGTTTTGTACCTTTTTAGGACGCTTGAGAACCAAGCAGTCATGCAAGAACCAAGCAGACAGCTCATGGCATTCGAGTAACTATGTCGTGGTTGAAGTGAATAGCAATAATTCCCTCGATTACAGAGGGACAGTTTAAAACGAAGGTAAGTGCTCATTCAGGAATTCAACCCGGGCCATGTCACACCCAAAGTGAGAATCAAATCAAATCCCTGCGCCCAACAAGCTAAACAGCCAATCTGGCTGTTTCAACCTTAGTCCATCACACTAGCCATTTCAATGTAGTGGTATAGGTTCCTGCTACATTTATTTGTGTTCTTTTCAGAGATCAAAATGATATCGTTCAGCACTGGTTTTATTTCAAAGCTGTGATGACGTAGAGAGTTTGCAAGTTCTCATCGCCGAAGTTGGACCTCCAACGTGCTAACCAATTGGGAGACAAAACCTGATAAGGGGAGTCCTTGCAAATGGGCCTCCCTGAAAGGTGTCCGAGCAAAATGGCAATTGGTTACAGAAGGACAGCTTGACAGGAAAGCGAGTGCTGAGGTGACATTGTGAAAGGGAGGATATCCTGAACATGGGTTTCCCTGAATGGTGTTTTGAGCAAAATGGCCCTCAGATTCAGAAGGGCATGTTCAGAAAAATACAAGCCTCATCAGGGATTTGAACCTGGCAGTAGAGAACCTCTTGACATCAACTATGTCGTGAAGCTCGGTTGAGGTGACGGCCAAAATTTTCCTTGATTACAGAAGGACGAGTTAACAGCAAGGAAAGGGCTCATCAGGGATTTCAACTGGGGACCACTCTCACCCAAAATTAGAATCATACCCCTAGGCCATCAAGCCAAATTGCTTATCAGACTGGTTTACCTCAAGGTACTTTTGTTTTAGTTCATTTCCACTTGCACAACCGTCATAACATAGACAAGAGTAGACATCCTAGAAAGTTCTACTTTCCTTTCCAATATGGTTCCAAGCTTAGTCCATCACACTAGCCATTTCAATTTAGTGGTATCAGCGCCTGCTACAGTTATTTTGCATTTGTCTTCAGAGATCAAAGTAACATGGCTGAGCTCTGGTTTTATTACAAAGCTGTGGTTGCATGGTGAAACAGGCATTCCCTTAACATAGGCTTCCCTGAAAGGTGTATTGAGCAAAAGCAGCTGAAGAGGGACAAGCTTATTTGGAATTTCTAGCTTTTTCGATCTCTCGTGAACAAAGCAAGTACCAAGTTCAACGGAAAGCTTGGGCCTCGTCTTGGGAGTCGAACCCAGGACCGCTCACACCCAAAGCGAGAATCATACCCCTAGACCAACGAGCCACATGAAGTTTAAGTGTTATTATACCTTGCTAATATCTGTCCTTATTGTTCTGCAGGCTCAGACTAAACAATTCAGGTAGTTGCACAAGATATTGCGCTCATAGAATGTTCAAGACACCTGTGCTTTTTTCAGAAAATCTGTAGGGCTTTGCTGTTTTCGCTCTATTCAAACAGGGCTATAACTAATTGTTTTGGGAGATAGAAGACATCCCGAAGCAGGGTTTTTGATTCCCCAGAAAGTAGCAACAAGCTATCCCCTATCATAACCAGCAAACAAACGTTGTTTATTTAGCCATGATTTATTACCACTGCAATTATTCCATCAACTACATTCTGTTGGATAGGGGACATCCCCAACCAGTCTTCTTTTGACTGATTTTGTCTGAATTAGGTACTTTTTTGACTCAGAGATGGACACTTCCAGGTACAATCCAAAGAACACAAAGGAAGCCAATATTAAGCGGTAGGAACTCGAAACTTACGTTGTCCTCATGATTAGTGTGCACGATCCTCCTTTTATCCTCTATTGGAACATTGCTGAAAATGATTTCTTCAGGAATGTGCATTCCCTGAAAAGGGCCTCTTTGATAAGTAGTCAAGCCTATATGCGCTCTTTATTCACAGCTGGATTCTTCACATCACAAGATGGGGTTTTGCCAAGCATTCGACTGACTATCTTGTGAATCTTCTTTTGTGACACGGAGAGCTTGCTGGTTCTTACAGCAGAAGTTGGTACACCAAGACACTACACCAAAGGTAGAACGCATGGATGCCCTGAAAAGGGGCTTTTTGTGATCATCAGACTAGCATCAACATAGTCCTTAATCAGAGCTGGACTGTTGACATCACAAGATGGCATTTGACTAACGATGATGGATAGCTTGCTTGTGGTGTCGGTGTTGGAGCACAACAGCCCTCAGATACAAAAGGACAAGTTGAGAAAAAAGCAAGGGCTCATCTTGGTTTTGAACCTTTCTGGAGAGAACCTCTTGAGAGCCAAGCAGCCAGATCATTATGCAGCTCGGTTGAGGTGAAGAGCAAAAATTTGCTCGATTACAGAAGGAAGAGTTAACAGCAAAGTAAGGGCTCATCAGGGATTTCAACCCCGAGACATCTCTCACCCAACATTAGAATCATACCCCTAGACCAACGAGTGAAATAGCCCACCTGGCTGTTATTTTTGTTCATTTAAACATGCACAAGTTAGCACTGGCTTTATTACAAAGCTGTGATGATGTAGAGAGTTGGCAAGTTCTCATCTCCTAAGTCGGCCCTCCAAGATGCTACCCAATAATGAGACCAAACCTGAAAGGGGTTGTTCCTGAAATTGGACATCCCTGAAAGGTGTCAGAGCAAAAAGTGAGCAGGGTACCACAGAGTAAGTTGCAAGAAAAAAATCCACCTATCTGCAATTTGAATCTCTCGTGAACTAAGCGGTTGACAGTAACACTTGGGCTCATCCGGGATTTGAACCCGGGACCTCTCGCACCCTAAGCGAGAATCATACCACTAGACCAACGAGCCAAACGACCCACAGGTACAGCGCCATGGACCGCTGGAGTTGCACTGTACCCTGCAAATGTATGTCCTTCCAGTTCTGTAGGTTCCTGCTAAAAGTTTGAGATGGTTGCACAAGATATTACTGTGAAAGATGTGAACGAATGTGGAAAGCTTGCTCGTGGTGACTAGTATGACCAAAATTAAACTCTGTTACAGAAGGACAAGTTGAGAAACAAGCTGGCTCTCATCTTGGTTTTGTACCTTTTTAGGACGCTTGAGAACCAAGCAGTCATGCAAGAACCAAGCAGACAGCTCATGGCATTCGAGTAACTATGTCGTGGTTGAAGTGAATAGCAATAATTCCCTCGATTACAGAGGGACAGTTTAAAACGAAGGTAAGAGCTCATTCAGGAATTCAACCCGGGCCATGTCACACCCAAAGTGAGAATCAAATCAAATCCCTGCGCCCAACAAGCTAAACAGCCAATCTGGCTGTTTCAACCTTAGTCCATCACACTAGCCATTTCAATGTAGTGGTATAGGTTCCTGCTACATTTATTTGTGTTCTTTTCAGAGATCAAAATGATATCGTTCAGCACTGGTTTTATTTCAAAGCTGTGATGACGTAGAGAGTTTGCAAGTTCTCATCGCCGAAGTTGGACCTCCAACGTGCTAACCAATTGGGAGACAAAACCTGATAAGGGGAGTCCTTGCAAATGGGCCTCCCTGAAAGGTGTCCGAGCAAAATGGCAATTGGTTACAGAAGGACAGCTTGACAGGAAAGCGAGTGCTGAGGTGACATTGTGAAAGGGAGGATATCCTGAACATGGGTTTCCCTGAATGGTGTTTTGAGCAAAATGGCCCTCAGATTCAGAAGGGCATGTTCAGAAAAATACAAGCCTCATCAGGGATTTGAACCTGGCAGTAGAGAACCTCTTGACATCAACTATGTCGTGAAGCTCGGTTGAGGTGACGGCCAAAATTTTCCTTGATTACAGAAGGACGAGTTAACAGCAAGGAAAGGGCTCATCAGGGATTTCAACTGGGGACCACTCTCACCCAAAATTAGAATCATACCCCTAGGCCATCAAGCCAAATTGCTTATCAGACTGGTTTACCTCAAGGTACTTTTGTTTTAGTTCATTTCCACTTGCACAACCGTCATAACATAGACAAGAGTAGACATCCTAGAAAGTTCTACTTTCCTTTCCAATATGGTTCCAAGCTTAGTCCATCACACTAGCCATTTCAATTTAGTGGTATCAGCGCCTGCTACAGTTATTTTGCATTTGTCTTCAGAGATCAAAGTAACATGGCTGAGCTCTGGTTTTATTACAAAGCTGTGGTTGCATGGTGAAACAGGCATTCCCTTAACATAGGCTTCCCTGAAAGGTGTATTGAGCAAAAGCAGCTGAAGAGGGACAAGCTTATTTGGAATTTCTAGCTTTTTCGATCTCTCGTGAACAAAGCAAGTACCAAGTTCAACGGAAAGCTTGGGGCTCGTCTGGGGAGTCGAACCCAGGACCGCCACACCCCAAAGCGAGAATCATACCCCTAGACCAACGAGCCACATGAAGTTTAAGTGTTATTATACCTTGCTAATATCTGTCCTTATTGTTCTGCAGGCTCAGACTAAACAATTCAGGTAGTTGCACAAGATATTGCGCGCCCATAGAATGTTCAAGACACCTGTGCTTTTTTCAGAAAATCTGTCGGGGCTTTGCTGTTTTCGCTCTATTCAAACAGGGCTATAACTAATTGTTTTGGGAGATAGAAGACATCCCGAAGCAGGGTTTTTGATTCCCCAGAAAGTAGCAACAAGCTATCCCCTATCATAACCAGCAAACAAACGTTGTTTATTTAGCCATGATTTATTACCACTGCAATTATTCCATCAACTACATTCTGTTGGATAGGGGGGCATCCCCAACCAGTTCTTCTTTTGACTGATTTTGTCTGAATTAGGTACTTTTTTGACTCAGAGATGGACACTTCCAGGTACAATCCAAAGAACACAAAGGAAGCCAATATTAAGCGGTAGGAACTCGAAACTTACGTTGTCCTCATGATTAGTGTGCACGATCCTCCTTTTATCCTCTATTGGAACATTGCTGAAAATGATTTCTTCAGGAATGTGCATTCCCTGAAAAGGGCCTCTTTGATAAGTAGTCAAGCCTATATGCGCTCTTTATTCACAGCTGGATTCTTCACATCACAAGATGGTTTTTGCCAGCATTCGACTGACTATCTTGTGAATCTTCTTTTGTGACACGGAGAGCTTGCTGGTTCTTACAGCAGAAGTTGGTACACCAAGACACTACACCAAAGGTAGAACGCATGGATGCCCTGAAAAGGGGCTTTTTGTGATCATCAGACTAGCATCAACATAGTCCTTAATCAGAGCTGGACTGTTGACATCACAAGATGGCATTTGACTAACGATGATGGATAGCTTGCTTGTGGTGTCGGTGTTGGAGCACAACAGCCCTCAGATACAAAAGGACAAGTTGAGAAAAAAGCAAGGGCTCATCTTGGTTTTGAACCTTTCTGGAGAGAACCTCTTGAGAGCCAAGCAGCCAGATCATTATGCAGCTCGGTTGAGGTGAAGAGCAAAAATTTGCTCGATTACAGAAGGAAGAGTTAACAGCAAAGTAAGGGCTCATCAGGGATTTCAACCCCGAGACATCTCTCACCCAACATTAGAATCATACCCCTAGACCAACGAGTGAAATAGCCCACCTGGCTGTTATTTTTGTTCATTTAAACATGCACAAGTTAGCACTGGCTTTATTACAAAGCTGTGATGATGTAGAGAGTTGGCAAGTTCTCATCTCCTAAGTCGGCCCTCCAAGATGCTAACCAATAATGAGAACAAACCTGAAAGGGGTTGTTCCTGAAATTGGACATCCCTGAAAGGTGTCAGAGCAAAAAGTGAGCAGGGTACCACAGAGTAAGTTACAAGAAACACATCCACCTATCTGCAATTTGAATCTCTCGTGAACTAAGCAGCCAAGCGGTTGACAGTTGAACGTAACACTTGGGCTCATCCGGGATTTGAACCCGGGACCTCTCGCACCCTAAGCGAGAATCATACCACTAGACCAACGAGCCAAAACGACCCACAGGTACAGCGCCATGGACCGCTGGAGTTGCACTGTACCCTGCAAATGTATGTCCTTCCAGTTCTGTAGGTTCCTGCTAAAAGTTTGAGATGGTTGCACAAGATATTACTGTGAAAGATGTGAACGAATGTGGAAAGCTTGCTCGTGGTGACTAGTATGACCAAAATTAAACTCTGTTACAGAAGGACAAGTTGAGAAACAAGCTGGCTCTCATCTTGGTTTTGTACCTTTTTAGGACGCTTGAGAACCAAGCAGTCATGCAAGAACCAAGCAGACAGCTCATGGCATTCGAGTAACTATGTCGTGGTTGAAGTGAATAGCAATAATTCCCTCGATTACAGAGGGACAGTTTAAAACGAAGGTAAGTGCTCATTCAGG